GAATCAAACTCAGGTCCTCTGAAACAGCATCCAGTGCTTTTAACTGCTGAGCCAAATCTCTAGCTCTTTAGAAAAAGCTAATGCATAGAGAAGCATCATCAACATGCAAAAGACCTTTCAAAAAAAAAAAAAGAAATACAAAGGGGAGAAAGAGAACTGCATGATTATTATAAACTGGATTCTCTGTGCTGTGAAACAGAGGTTTGAGTTATGTGATCTCCGTTCCTCTATAGGCATTGACTTATTTTGGACCTATTCTTAGATAAACTAAGTCTGACAGCCCTGGCTATGCTCCTTGGCTTACAGATTTGCTCTCATCTCCTCTAAAGGAAAACGCTGGATAAAACACCATTCAGGGTTCAGTCCTACTGCTCCTACATGACTCACCTCTTAGATGATTGCAAGACTTCTATTTTAGAGGTGCCATAGCAAAGTCCCCAGCTTCAAGCACTGCCTAAGGGATTATTCTGTATTTGCAGCAGTTACACCAGCTTGTGCTGTGCAGGCTGCTGGACAACCCCATTCCCGAGTGCCTCTTGGCCTCTGCAGGTTTAAGGCATGGGGCTGGAAGGGGAAGAAGGGATGCTGATGAATCCAAGAAACTTTATATTTATTTATTTATATTTCTATCTGAGTGACTTACAGTCTTCTAGGTAAGGAATTGAGCCTTATCTTTTCCTGTGCTCCTGAAATACTACCTACAATAATCCACCCAAGTTCTAGGTAAGTCTTCGGAGAGTTGAGAAATCATTTGTGACAAAAAGAACACCTTAGCATGCTTGGTTCTTTCCCAGGTTGCTTGATTAGAATGCAGTCTTTCTTCTGGGAGACACCCTTCCCTTCTGAGTAGTGACGTTCCTTTTTTTTTTTTTAATTATTTATTTATTTATTATGTATACAATATTCTGTCTGTGTGCATACCTGCAGGCCAGAAGAGGGCACCAGATCTCATTACAGATGGTTGTGAGCCACCATGTGGTTGCCGGGAATTGAACTCAGGACCTTTGGAAGAGCAGGCAATGCTCTTAACCTCTGAGCCATCTTTCCAGCCCTGTGACGTTCCTTATTCACCAAAGAGGACATAAAAATTGGTCTGAGAACAAAGCCCTCCTGCTCACTCATATTGCAAGCAGCTGAGCTGCCCACAGGCTAAGGCTGTACCACAAAAGCATTGGCAAGCTGTGGACTGTGTCTGCCATTTGGACAGCCCCATGCTTTGTGGAAGGGCCTAGAAGTTATCCCCAGTCCCTAGAGCCTTTGCTTGCTTTCTTTTTCCTACTCTAGTAGCACAAGGCCTTGAGAGCTAGGCTTCAGTTACACCCTCAGGGAAGTCATATTATTCTGGCAACTTGAATGAAATCGTGTTTTCGGTTGGTCCAGTCTAAACAGTGTCTCTGAAATAGCCTAAAGTTTCCAAATGATGAATAAATGGAGAGATTCATATTCATTCTTGCTCTCATTTATTTGTTTAAAGAAGATTTTACTTCCCTGCAGCTGGTCTCCAGGTGTATGCTTCTTGGGATCACAGCCTTTAAAGCTGGGGAGAATTTTTTTTTCCTGAGCTCCAAGCCAGGACATTTCACTTGTTTATGAGTCTGCATGCCAAGGGCTCAGCAAAGGCAACTCCCATTGCCTTTGGGTATTAACCTGAGTCCTGAGGCTCATCGTGCTCCACAAGGCAGGACAGGAAGGAACATACATTCATCACTTGGCCCCCTTTTTTTCCCATCCTTCTCCCTTTAGTTTTCCTTTTATTCCCCCATTACCAGGTTTTTTTTCACATTCTCCACTGAGCCCCGATGATGAGGGAAGAAACCTAGAAAAAGATCTCATCCTAGATTTCAGAGTCCTTTTTTCCAGGGAAGAGACACAGGAGTGTGCAGCATGTGGCCGGCAATGGTCTAGTTTCACAGGCTAGATCTTCTCTCCCATTGGGGTAGTGTTACGATGTGAAGCCTCTGGAAGGAATGAGGTTGGAGGGTGGAGCCTTTATGATTAGGACCTTCATGAGAAAGCCACTTTCTTTCCTTGCTGTCGCAAAACACCTGACAGAAGTGAGGGTGTTTATTTTGGCTCTCAGTTTGTGGGAATCCAGTCCATCATGGAAGAGAGGCTGGAGTAAAGCTTGTGGTATGGCTTCATATCTGAGACCATCAGAAAGCAAAGAGTGCAGACCAGAAGCTGGACTGGATCACAATTCTCAAGGCTGGCCATTCCCCGGTGATGCATTTCCTCCAGTGTCTCCTAAAGTTTCACAATCTCCCAAAAGCAGTGCCAGTAGCTAGGCACCAGGAACTCAAACACATGAGCCTGTTTGGGTTGGGGGGCATTTTTGCATCCAAGCTATAGTAGTGGTCTTATGAAGAGAGTCTCTGGAGAGTTGCTTTGTCCTTCCTATCACATGAGGATGCAGTGAGAAGTGCCACACATGAGCCAGGACACAGTTCTTTACAGAAGCAAATATTTTAAGTGATTCCTGTTTCCCCAGTCAGCCCATAACAATGCATGTTTTCGCATTCAGTTAACAATTAATGAATATCATTGACTGACTATGACAGAGCTTAGATTTGGCCACATCCTGTCCAGGTAATGAAGGAGAACTGCCAAGTCACCAAAGGCATTGTTCTGCCCAGGCTGTGGGGGAGACATCATGGGAGTGTGTCTCATTGCGGCAAGTGATTATGATGTGTCTGAAAGACGGAAAGAGTGAACAAACACTAGAAACCTAATGTGACCATACAAAGTACAGTTTTAGAGACAAGTGTAAAGAAGAGAGGAGAAAGTTTTATCTAATTTCTGAAAGTATTTCTGAGACTTGGATGGACTGTGAAAGTTCACCTGATATGGATTGTATCTTGAATTTTTTCCAAATAAACAAGTTTCTTATGTTAAGGAGATAGCTTGGTTAATAAAATGTCTGTAAACACAAGGACATGAGTTTAATCCCTAGAATCCACTAAGAAGAAGAAGGAGGAGGAGGTGGAGGAGGAGGAAGAGGAAGAGGAGGGGGAGGAGAAGGAAGAGGAGGAAAAGGAGGAGGACAAGGAGGAGGAGGAGAGAAAGAAGAAGAAGAAGAAGAGGAAGAAGAAGAAGAAGAAGAAGAAGAAGAAGAAGAAGAAGAAGAAGAAGAAGAAGAAGAAGAAGAAGAAGAAGAAGAAGAGGAAGAAGAAGAAGAAGAAGAAGAAGAAGAAGAAGAAGAAGAAGAAGAGCTATATGTGATAGTGTGTGCTTGTGATCCCAGTAATGGGGAGGTAGAAAGAGGTGAATTCCTGGGTTCATCCTCTTCCTATACCCTTCTGAGCATGTTGAGAAAACACCTGACATTAGATACTTTCCTTGTGTGTTCCCCTGGGAACATGCCACTAGACCACAGACATCCTGATTTCCCTGGAGGTTCAGAGGTTCCAGTTTCTGCAAAAGGATTCCCTAAGAAAATAGCTTGCAGCCCAAAGCTTACCCAGAGT